TTTTTTTTTTCCCTCCTAGATTAAAGAAAACTTTAAAAATCTATTTGCTTTGACATATGACACAATATTTAAGAACTGAAATCATCAATTAAATCACACATCAGAAACATTTCCCTTTGGTAAAAAATATAGTGCTAGACGATGTACACTTTGAAATTGTTGTTAATGTTTAAAATGCAATCTGAAGTGCATATGTTATTTAGGAAAAAAAAAAACAAAACACAACATAAATTACAAATTTTAAAAGTTTATGAAAAAAATCTAGCAATCCTTGCCCAGCAAAAGCATTTGCAGAGAAATGTGTGTCCTTGGGTTGTGTGGATACGCATCGTTTTCTAGCATGAAAGCTGAACGTGTTATTCTTTATTTTCTATTTTTTGTTCTCGTTTAAAACAAGGGTAGATCTAAAGGAAGCAGAATTCCTTCTGGGTGCCTGTAGTACAGCACCAAACTCGATATGCACATGAAGGTAGCGAAAGCCTTTTGGATTGAAAATAGAAAAGGTGAACGTTGACAAGATTTCAGATACTTTTTTTTTTCTGGGGACTGAGGGAAACTGAAGTTAAAAATAAAGCTCTCGTATGGTCAACATGTTGGAGGAAATTCAAAGACTCTCATAAAATAAACATATTTTAAGAAGTGTTTCGAATTTCACTGTGTAATTTCTGGCCAGCAGAAATTACAGTTGTCTCTTTGCAGGGATGTTGTGTCGGATCGATGGTCATTATGCAAAAGGAACAAACTGAAAAGTTGATGTTTTAACCCATCCCGTTATTAAAATGCAGACACGGAGAGGATGGCTTTTCTTTAGGTTCTCCGTGAGAAAACTTGGCGCCATGATAAAATATTTGGGTTTGATGTTACAGGAGCTGCGTAAATGGTTCCTTGGAAGAAAAACCTCACGTACACTTTCCCAAAGGAACCGCATCAGTACCTATTAAAAAATGCCACTCTATACATCCCCAAAAATACAGGAAATTATCTGAACCATGTGCATGAGCTAAAACACCCCAGCCTGAAGCATACTGAAAGTTATTCCTAGGTTTTATTTAATTGGAACCTTTGGGGCCTTAAAGGAGAATTATCAGTTCTGCCAGGGGCTGGTGTGCATCTAAACATACATGTACGCATGTCCTTGTATACATACACGTATATCCCTGCACAGGTACATGTATATCATGTACATGTACACATATATCATGTGTATGTACATGTATATCCACGTGTATGTGGACGTATCTCATGTGTACGTACGCATGAAGCCAAACGTGCGCGCGGCTGCCCTTGTTTTCCCGCAGCGTTATTAAGTAAAGCCGTCCATACTTCACCATGTTGTTACATGTGTCTGTCTGCTGATTATAAAATGTGTTAAGCAGTATTTAAAAAACAAAAAAATGCAGAGCTGCGCTTTGATTTATTCAGCGAACAAAACATATGCTCGCTGTTCTGTTCTATGTAATTCATATGATCAATAAAATTTTCTTGAAAAAGAGCAACTTTGGCATTTAGAAGGATTGTGCTGCCGGAGGAAAAAAAAACGTTTCGCTCGTACTATCTGTAGTCGCCCTCAATGTTCCTGCAGCGAAAGAAGTTTTGGGGCTGGCTAACGTCTCTTTTTGTGTATTTTGTGTTTCTGATTTCCAGGGTGGAAGCTGTGCACTGCGGCTGTTACCCGCTGTGTCCCAAAGCCTTGGTGTACCCGGAGATATTTCCAGGTAGCTGCTTTCTCGCCCGCTCCTTTTGCCGAAGCGCAATAGCGGGATGCAGGCTAAAACACAAAGTTTGCGGGTAAACTTCAGCGAAAGCAGTTGTTTATTTGGCAAGCCGACATGTTAGTGTTAAGGAAAATTTTATGTGTTTTAATACATTAGACGAAGTTTATATTTGCCATCTGTTCTTTTAAGATAACACAAAAGCAAGTTTTGAAATAGCATTCGTCATTGTTAGCATACACAACCCGCAATGATAGATTTTTGTTAAGAGGTCAGTGATGCTGCAATGGTTTGCAGATTTTTTTTTTTTGATACGCAGAAGAAGAGGGGGGAAAAAAAAAACCCGAGGCCTGAAAATCACACCAAATTATTTAAACAATTTAATACTTAATGGTATGCAACTGCGGTACAGGATACACACTAATGTGGTACCAGTTCTTTGAAAAATCTCATCACTAAATGTATCACATATGCATTGTGTTACATTAGAATAATGTATTTTAATCACCCAAAGGAGATGTCTAAACAGCACAACTACACAGTCTTATTTAGCATTAAACATCCTTGTGAGCTGAGGTAACCTTATAAAATCATGCTTAAATAATGTAAAACACGAGGCGGCACAGAGCAATATGCATTTTTAATTAGTAAAGTGACTAATATCGAGTGTGTGCTTTGAGGTTTTTGTTTCATTAAAAATGTATCTGTTTTTCCTGCAGCTGAATATCTGTATTCTACACCTGAACAGCTTTTTAAAAGGCTTCAGAATTTCTGCAAGAGACCAGATACTGTAAGGAAACATCTCTATAAGGTAGTTGTTCAGAATAGTTTTACGTGATATAATGCCATATTGAAGTACAAAGGGGTAAAAAAAAGCCCTTAAAAAAACAACATTTAATTAACATACTAATGTTTAAAGGAAACATGCTAGGGAGGGATATTAGTCGTTACACTAACAAGGATTAATTAAACTAGATGCCAGTTGTATTAACCTAGGTCTTATGAAATACGTGCACTTAATGCATGCTACATGCTTTTTTTTTTAATTTATTGTTTTCTGAAATGACTGTCCTTTACATTTGGACCCAAGAGGCTTATAAAAATGAACCTGGATTAATGCAACTCATTAGTTTAAAAGGAAAATAAAAGAAAGATCCTACAATTATACTAATGAGGATAAGCCTACCTTCCTATCCTAATTTAATCTTCAGTCCTCAAAACATGCAGGTGACTGGTATCAGGTAAGGTTTCTCTGCCTGTTTGGAATTATTTGACTTCTTTTTGTAATTAGGATTATTTTAACTCTTTGCTTTTTAAGGTACGTTGAACATAAAAAAGAAAAGTTTATCAGAAGCATGATTTGCTGATATTTCTCAGGTCCTTTGCAGTTATTTCTGTAGAGAAAGTAGAGTTTCAGTGGCAGAGCTTCCAGTCGGGTTTTGATGGGGTGTTCAGCTCTCACATTTTTAAGCGGTGTATTGATGCTGCTAGGAATCACACTCTTTATTTAATTACGCAGTTGTAGATGAAGCACTGCATTTCATGTGATTCCAGTGAAGAGCTGTTACTGCACAGTGCTGCTTTTAGAAAAGAATAATAGATATTCTGCACGCTGATAGGTGAATTTACAGCGTTTTCTGACTTTTCCAGTCCTGGCTATGGCGTGGACAGGTCGGATGCGCATTACCCCTGCACGGCAAAGGTGTTTCAGGTTGCAAAAACCCCAAATTCAGCTGAAAATCCTTAAAAGCTTGGGAGCGCATGTAAAAACTCCTCGTGTATTCCCCAAATGCGGTCTTTTTTTGTGTTCTGCCGGCAGACCCAACCTCATCTCCCCACCTTCCTCCCTCTGGGGACCAGAAAGGGTTGGGTCTCGCCGTCTGCCTCCGAACCCCTTCCCGCACACATGGAGCGGGAGGAGCCAGGCTTGAGCCCACGCATGACTTTTTTGGGCTTTTTTTTTTTCCTTATTCTTTTTTCTGTGTGTGTGTGTGACCTAAAAATAGACGTTTACATAATGATACATCAAAGATGATGTTGTTTCTGCAGGAAATGGTTAAACTTCAGGGGAAAAAAAAAAAAAAAGAAGGAGAGAACCAAAAATGCAATTTAACACCCAATTTCAAGCTCATTATCTTTCATTGTCTATTAACTTGGCAATGGTTCAGAAGGTAGCTCATAATAGTTTAAAATGCTGACTGAACACTTCCAGTGTTCAGCATTACTTCTTGAGTCAATAGCGTCGTAGGGCTGTACATGGGGGCTTCAAAGGGAAAATGCTCCTTAAACATTTACCTTGACGCTTCCCCATGCTTCAAGTTCAGCAAATGGTTGTGTTCATGGGGATCTTCTCCCTACGAGTGGATCCCCAGCTCCTAAACGGAGGTAAGGTGCACTAAAAAATGGAAATAACAGTAGAGCAAATACAGATACGGGTTTAAAATGTGCCTACGATCCCTATAAGCAATGTACTGATTTTCTTTTATTAAAACAGTCCCTTGGGATGGTTTGCAGAAGGCAGAAGCTGAAGGTGTTTGTCCTACACCTCATACGTGTCCACTAGTAACGGTGCAGCCCCGTTCAGGTCCTCTGAGCACTCAGCCTCGGTGTCTGCAACAGGTAGCAACTGATCGCTTTAAAGTGAGTCAAGCAGAGCCTAATCCAGAACCTGTGAACACCGCTGCACAGAGCCCTGTTGTCTTTAATAGGCTTTGGATCAGCTCGGAGAATGCTGTTAGAGTTGCCTCGTTGTACCTACGCCCACGTAAGGCCAAGTCTTCCTTTCTCAGTGAGACTATCCCCAAACCCACCTAGAAAAACACTAACTTGGATATGAGCTCTTAATGTCATCAAAGTTGGAATGGTGCTGGGTTTTAGAGAGCTGAAAGGGCAGCACTTCCACTGTATTTTCACTTTTTTTCAGATCAGTATAATATTATATACACGATAGTGGAATAGACAAGGGTCCCCAGCACACAGGTGCTTACTAACGTGCTATTTTAGCCATTTTTAATTTCGGAAACCTTCCTGACGCGCTCCTTGCCTGGAGTTCCTAAAGTCTTGAAAGTAAAAAGGCTTTAAAAGCCAACAGTGCTTTTCTCTGCTGGTTGGGGATTCCGTTTCATAGATCGGGAAGTAATCACCATCAGAAGTACCTTGGATTATCCTTTACATATTGTTGAGGTTTTATTACTAAAGATATTCATAATAATTAGACAGCGGCCTAATTAAACAGGCAGTTTATTCCTTCAGTTGTCCTCAGTGCTTGTGCTGACAAAGTGAGGGGCGAAAGGGGGAGATGAATGGCAGCAGGGCTGTCAGGTTAGGGAGCTATGATATTATATATATACAAGTATATTCTTTATATATTATCCATTATATATTATTATATCTGGTATGTTGTATCTGATATATATTACATTAGGTA